TGGGTATCTGAACTGGAACTAGTGGTTTGCTATCAGCACTGAGTTTCTTAACTTCCACGGTGTCAGAATTCAGATGCTATTTATTTGTCATCCTTGTTTTCAAGGTGTCACATTTGTCATGTAGTAGCACAGAGGGGATAAACGAAACGCTTTCATAAGGACGGTGGCATCCGCATTTGAATATGGGTGAACACACACACACACACACTCACGCACGCAAGCACGCACACACACATACACACGCGCACACACACACAGAATATATATTTGAATTAGAGGGGGTTGTTAGTGTCCCCTAAGCCTCTACAACCCTGCACCCTTGTTGGGAATAATTTGCCGTGTAACACCATACAGAATTTCTCATAAATTGCTATTACTGCATGTTTATGTTGATCTCTCTCCGCTTAATAAGTCTCCCATAAATTCCAGATCCGATATCTGAGACTTCACGTATCATTCAAGTAGTTTCTGAGATTGATCTCAGGTTTCCAATTAGATCGTTCTGTAGTTTTCACAGAATAGGTGCTGGGCGATGCATTTCGAGTTTTCAGTTTTATCCATAAGTGCTGAAACGTGAAGCACATAGACTTTGGACTCCTAAACCAGCCCCTAATACGTGAATAGAAATTCTCGTTTAGTTGTGTTTATTTAAATCATATTAGTTCAAATATATTATTATATTTATCTCTCGATTAAATAAATTATCATCCTCATCATCATCATCATCATCATCATCATCCTCATCCTCATCATCAGCAGCAGCATCATCATTATCACCACCACCATCATCATCCTTATCATCATCATTATCGTAATCATCATAATAATCATTAGCATCATCATTATAACAGTTATCATGATCATCATCACGACCATCATCACGACCATCATCATCATTATCATCATCATTATCATCATCATCATCATCATCATTATCATCATCACCATTATCATCATAATCATCATTATCATCACCATCATATTCTTTACCATTATCATCATCATTAATCACTTAAACAAGGCTAAGGCCTCTTGTGGCCACCCCCTGGTTGTTGCGTATCCTTTACAGGACGTTGCAGAACCAACCCTAACAGCCCCTGGCTGTTGTGTGGTTTCTCTAGGCAAATTTACGTCCAGTAGTTTGCCATTGCTTACTGGACGGTCGGCTTTCTTGATACCACTGTTGAAACCAACGCAAGGCGCATTGCCCGCAGCTGGAATCGAACCCGGCATCCCGGCATTACGAAGCGAAGTGTTCGCATCGACTTAGCCACAGAGCCGACGGCCACCCCCTACATGTATTTTTTCCCCGAGCCTCCTTGTCTCACTATCCTTGAGTATTTGTTCTTCTTGTCCGCACTGGGTGATTGTTGGTCTTTAGGCAGTTTGAGACTACAAAATGTACCCAAATTGGACTACCAAAAGTACCCAAATGAGACTACTAAAGAACCGAAAAAAGACTACCAAAAGTACCCAAATGAGACTACCAAAAGTACCCAAATGAGACTACCGAAAGTACCTAAATGAGACTACCGAAAGTACCCAAATGAGACTGACAAAGTACCCAATACGTCTCAGTATGTGAACTGCGGCCTCGTGTCTTCTTGTTTTCTGTCTAGTAATACTGTCTTACCTTTTTTGTGTCCTTCCCTTTTCTTTTTCACGTTCACCAGCTGAAACTCCTGGAGAGAGTGATGGTTGTTCGTTCATCCTGAGCGCCTTTACAACATCACATCGGCACAGCACGACACACTGTACATACATCTTCTTCATCGTCTTCATTTTCTCTTCTACCACTTAAAAGTTACCGGTAAGGCGTAACAAAGTGTGAAGGCACTTACTAGCAGCTCCTTGCCCACATACACTTGAGGGTGACACCTGGGCTGCTGAAGTTGTAACCAGTGTGACCTAATTATAACTTGTCGGGGGGTTGAACTGGGTATAGAGGAATCCGTCTTGTTGGCCTGCCGTCCAGACTGAGATTGAGTTTTCTCAGGATGGTAGGGTAAACCTTATGGTAGCAGCCCAGAGGGGACACACTGATCGATGCAACGAACCTAACAGCAGGTACGCCGGAACTTAGGGTCCTATGCCTATTGTGTACTCCGAGATAATTGTATGGGGTGGGGGAGGGTGGGGGACGTTAGTTCATATAAAGTTATCTTTGTCAGTATGTGTTTCTTTTTATTTTTTTTTAATTTAAAATACATTTATCTATTAATTTGCCATTCAATACACTATTATTATTATTATTATTATTATTATTATTATTATTATTATTATTATTATTATTATTATACACTTAAAGAAGGATTCGTTCCCTTAAGGCCCGTAACCCTAGAACATACGTAACAGGCTGACCCCCGCCCGCGGTCCCTTTTATTTTTCTCCACTACTCACCCCAGAGACCTTCCAACATGTTCCATGTGTCCACCCCCCCCCCCCAACCCCCGCTGTATGGCAATCCAAAAACTGTCATCATCATTATCATTCTTCGAGTGCCGTTAGATGTCACATAGGGCTCTTTTGCATTTCTGAAATATAGTTCCCCCCCCCCCCAGCCTTGTTAGCTTCTCGTAATCATGTTTTTCTCAGTGTTTTCCTTGGACGTTCCTCTTTTTCTCAGACCGTTTGTTTCCCATTATAGTCCTTGTTTTGTAGCAATGTTACTGTTTGTTTTGTAGTAATGTTAGTGTTTGCTTTAGAACCAAGCAATGTGCGAGTCTAGTTGTCAGTGATGCACTCAGAGCACCGCACAGTAACTATCAGTGATGCACTCAGTGCACCGCACAGTAACTGTCAGTGATGCACTCAGAGCACCGCACAGTAACTGTCAGTGATGCACTCAGAGCACCGCACAGTAACTGTCAGTGATGCAATCAGTGCACCGCACAGTAACTGTCAGTGATGCACTCAGAGCACCGCACAGTAACTGTCAGTGATGCAATCAGTGCACCGCACAGTAACTGTCAGTGATGCAATCAGTGCACCGCACAGTAACTGTCAGTGATGCACTCAGTGCACCGCACAGTGCGTGGTCGTTCATTTGATCAGAATAGCGTCCATACTTAAAGGTTACTGACCCCTATACCAGAGTGTTAATTGCGCGAATGAGTTCCCGGTGTTAAGCGATAACCTAATTCTTTGTATGTTAAAGCTATCACCGTCAAAGTACACTTTTTGTATCAAACTTTGTCCTTCCTTTCTGCGGAAAAGTTCCATTGCATGGACTAGTCTGATAATTCTGCTTCTAGTCCTTTGAAATATGTGTTATTGGCAGCAAAAACAGTAAACCAAATACTCAAGAATATCATACACAACAAACATTTAATCAGGGAGTTTGAAAAACTGCGAACTTTTGTGTGTTCACCGTTGCTATGGTAACAAACAGCAATGGATTTTTCAGTAAATTAAAGGAACATTACGTGAATAAAAAAAAATAAAAAAAAATAAAGTGAAGTGCTTAACATTTGTTTTGTTTCACACGTGAAATTGTCACAGGCCTAGCAAGTCCACTGATTAAATAGTGCTGTAGAGAATACATGGTGATACAAAGAAGCTGGGAACTCGAAGCGGTAAAGAATAAATAAAGAGAAGAATAAAAAGTAATAGCAGCAGGGTAGCGGCAAGAGGAAAAAGAGAAGGAAGAGAAAGAAGATGAGCAGCAGGAAGAGGAAGAGAAAAAGAGGAGAAGGATGTAGAAGATGGTGGAGGAGGAGAAAAATAACAAGGAGGATGAGGAGGAAGAAGAAGAAGAAGAAGAAGAAGAAGAAGAAGAAGAAGAAGAAGAAGAAGAAGAAGAAGAAGAAGAAGAAGAAGAAGAAGAAGAAGAAGAAGAAATCTATAGCTGACAACACTATACAAGACAGGGTTACGTTTACCAGCATTAGAGAGAAAATTGGAATAAGACCATGTCTGGATTATACTGGCAGACAAAAAAATTGTTCGGTCAGCAGGTGCTAATGCAGTCAGACCATACTGCATGTGAGACTTTTTACAGTAGAGTATCTAAGAGGAAAGGGAGGGAAAGACCAAGAAAGAGATGGATAAATGATGTAGATGAAACCTGCAAAAAGTTAAACAAATCCATCACTCAAGCCACCCGAGAAGCGCAAGACAAATACAGAAAACCACGACACTGGGCTACAACCTGGTTTCTGTGAGACGACACAACCACGACACTGGGCTACAACCTGGTTTCTGTGAGACGACAAAACCACGACACTGGGCTACAGCCTGGTATCTGTGAGACGACAAAACCACGACACTGGGCTACAACCTGGTATCTGTGAGACGATAACAGTAGGAAGAAGAAGAAGAATCTATAGCCATTTTGAATTTTATAATTATAAATACTTATATTAATAATAATAATAATAATAATAATAATAATAATAATAATAATAATAATAATAATAATAATAATAATAATAATAATAATAATAATAATAATAATACACGAAGTCTATAAAAACTTGGGGGTGGGGTAAAATGGTTTGGGGGCGAAAACGGGGGTGGGGGGGGGGGGAGGGGTAAACTGACTTGGGATGTCCAGTTTTCAGCTCAGAATAGGGGTAGGATGTTTTAAGTCAAGATATTGTCACTTCACATATATGGTTTTATCCTACTATTTCCGCTGGTCTCTTGGTAGTGAGAACGGACGCCTGTGTGCATTGTTGCGCAAGTAAAAAACCCCTTGGCAGTTGGAAATCGGAAAGAGTAGCATAACGTTGCGGCCCGGGCAAAAAGTATTTCATGATCCTCGCCGGTGCTACAGAGCCTGGTCACTGTGCTGAGCTTCTTCGGACTCAGACTTGAGCTAGAAGAAAGACAGGAGCACTTATGGGTTACAACCATCAAATTTGATAATGATTCTAACAGTAACACTATGCTTGTTTTTTTTTTTCTATTTCCACAGATACACAATAAGCTCAGAGTATGACCACAAACGCCATGCTGTATCTGAAACAGACTGTTTTGCCAGAACCTCTTGCAGATGG